TGCAACACCAAGCTGCCAGAAGTGCTTATAAACAAGTCTAAGACTGGCTTTAGCAACACCAAGCTGCCAGAATAATTATAAACAAATTGTAATAAAGTTGGTAGAATTACCGACAATATGTAAAGTAAAAGGACACAAATGCAACTAATGTGACATTTTATTGTGGCAACGTTTCGCTCTCCAGGAGCTTTATCAAGCCATTACAAACAATACATGGACACAGAGGGTATATAAAGGCTCAGAGTGAGGTGCAATACTAGTGAGGTACCATTTCGATGTTCACTAGTGGTAGTAGTAGTAGTAGTAGTAGTAGTAGTAGTAGTAGTAGTAGTAGTAGTAGTAGTAGTAGTATAGTAGTAGTAGTAGTAGTAGTAGTAGTAGTAGTAGTAGTGACAAAAGTAATACAATATGGTAGAGCAATTAATTCGTACATGAATAATAGCTTTTATATCCTTTTACTAATGTACGAATTAATTGCTCTACCATATTGTATTACTTTTGTCACTACTACTACTACTACTACTACTACTACTACTACTACTACTACTACTACTACTACTACTACTACTACTACTACTACTACTACTACTACCACTAGTGAACATCGAAATGGTACCTCACTAGTATTGCACCTCACTCTGAGCCTTTATATACCCTCTGTGTCCATGTATTGTTTGTAATGGCTTGATAAAGCTCCTGGAGAGCGAAACGTTGCCACAATTAAATGTCACATTAGTTGCATTTGTGTCCTTTTACTTTACAAATTATAAACAAGTCTAAGACTTGGCTGTTGCAACACCAAGCTGCCAGAAGTACTTATAAACAAGTCTAAGACTGGCTGTTGCAACACTAAGCTGCCAGAAGTACTTATAAACAAGTCTAAGACTGGCTTTAGCAGCACCAAGCTGCCAGAAGTACTTATAAACAAGTCTAAGACTGGCTGTTGCAACACCAAGCTGCCAGAAGTACTTATAAACAAGTCTAAGACTTGGCTGTTGCAACACCAAGCTGCCAGAAATACTTGTAACTAAGCCTAAGACTGGCTGTTACAACACAACGCTGCCAGAAGTACTTGTAAACAAGTCTAAGACTGGCTGTTGCAACACCAAGCTGCCAGAAATACTTATAAACAAGTCTAAGACTGGCTGTTGCAACACCAAGCTGCCAGAAGTACTTATAAACAAGTCTAAGACTGGCTGTTGCAACACCAAGCTGCCAGAAGTACTTATAAACAAGTCTAAGACTGGCTGTTGCAACACCAAGCTGCCAGAAGTACTTATAAACAAGTCTAAGACTGGCTGTTGCAACACCAAGCTGCCAGTACTTATAAACAAGTCTAAGACTGGCTGTTGCAACACCAAGCTGTCAGAAGTACTTATAAACAAATCTAAGACTTGGCTGTTGCAACACCAAGCTGCCAGAAGTACTTATAAACAAGTCTAAGACTTGGCTGTTGCAACACCAAGCTGCCAGAAGTACTTATAAACAAGTCTAAGACTGGCTGTTGCAACACCAAGCTGCCAGAAGTACTTATAAACAAGTCTAAGACTGGCTGTTGCAACACCAAGCTGCCAGAAGTACTTATAAACAAGTTTAAGACTTGCTGTTGCAACACCAAGCTGCCAGAAGTACTTATAAACAAGTCTAAGACTGGCTGTTGCAACACCAAGCTGCCAGAAGAGGTTTCAAGTATCCGCACTGCTACCGTCTTCTGATGCAGCTCATTTACACACTTTTGGAACTTCCCTTCAGGTGCAAAAACTTCCGTGGAAACTTTCGCAGATCGCCTGCGATTGCGTAGACGAGGCTCAGAGCCACTGAACAATGTTGGTTATAAGAGGAACGCAACAATCTGTCTTATTCAGGAGAGTCCAACAAGCGTCACGGGCCGTCACGTCTCCTACAGGATTCCCATAGCTATGATCCAAATCGGACCGAAATGTCGTCATAAGCTTCTCTCTCCTATGTGTGGGTTATCTGTGTGTTGTTCCAGTCACGGTACTGTGACTTACTGTGTATTGCTATAGCAACTCTCATCCAGGTGAGTACAAACTGAAAACGCGTCAGTCTTGGCGCTCGGCAGACGGAGGATCAAGCCTCCACTACGTCTTGCTCTAAATTACAGAAGACATATTAGCAAATTAGAGATGATTTTGGTCAGTTTCAGAGGGAAAGAGCTTGAAATAGAGCTCCAAGTGGAGGAATTACTTGAGCTTGGGTGATTTTCCTGAGGAAGAGTCACGTGGGTTTAGCGCTTAGCGTGAATTCAACAACAGTAAAGCAACTCTCCTCCACCAACAGTAGCAATAGTATAGCTCTAGCTCTCGGCCCTTCAAAGTCACTGTCAAATGTACTCGAGTAAGTCGTAATGAGCGACTGTCAACAAAGTCTACGTTCAACTGAGAAGGAATGGAATAGATCACTATAAGAAAACTGGCAGATAGATCACTATAAGAAAACTGGCAGATAGATCACTATAAGAAAACTGGCAGATAGATCACTATAAGAAAACTGACAGATAGATGACTATAAGAAAACTGGCAGATAGATCACTATAAGAAAACTGGCAGATAGATGACTATAAGAAAACTGGCAGATAGATCACTATAAGAAAACTGGCAGATAGATCACTATAAGAAAACTGACAGATAGATCACTATAAGAAAACTGGCAGATAGATCACTATAAGAAAACTGGCAGATAGATGACTATAAGAAAACTGGCAGATAGATCACTATAAGAAAACTGGCAGATAGATGACTATAAGAAAACTGGCAGATAGATCACTATAAGAAAACTGGCAGATAGATCACTATAAGAAAACTGACAGATAGATCACTATAAGAAAACTGGCAGATAGATCACTATAAGAAAACTGGCAGATAGATGACTATAGAAAACTGGCAGATAGATCACTATAAGAAAACTGGCAGATAGATGACTATAAGAAAACTGGCAGATAGATCACTATAAGAAAACTGGCAGATAGATGACTATAAGAAAACTGGCAGATAGATCACTATAAGAAAACTGGCAGATAGATCACTATAAGAAAACTGACAGATAGATCACTATAAGAAAACTGGCAGATAGATCACTATAAGAAAACTGGCAGATAGATCACTATAAGAAAACTGGCAGATAGATCACTATAAGAAAACTGGCAGATAGATGACTATAAGAAAACTGGCAGATAGATCACTATAAGAAAACTGGCAGATAGATCACTATAAGAAAACTGACAGATAGATCACTATAAGAAAACTGGCAGATAGATCACTATAAGAAAACTGGCAGATAGATCACTATAAGAAAACTGGCAGATAGATCACTATAAGAAAACTGGCAGACAGTTCACTGCAGGAAAAAAAAACTCCATGGAGAAGGGGGTTAGTATATATAAGCGCTTTAAAAGAGGCAGGAAGGTCAGGTATCGGGACTAGCTTCCAAAATTTAATGCAAACGGCTCGTTACCCCGCGGTAAATATGTTGGGAGGAGAGGACTCCCTGAGGCTGGCCGAAATGAGTTTTCAAATTGGCCACTAAGAGGGGACAGGGGGTCTTAAACTCCCCTCCTACCCAACCAAACCCTAAAAAAATAAAAATCTGACGCTCGGGCGTGCGTCTATTTCTCGACCATCAAAAAGTCAACAATTATATATTAACTATTTTAGGTTCAATTATTTTCCTTTTTAACTTGTGTGACTGTTGGATATGATGTATGGTACAGCATCGCTACCATATATACACTGAGAGGTGTATCTCGCAGTCTATGTATATATATATATATATATATATAATATATATATATATATATATATATATATATATATATATATATTATATATATATATATATATATATATATATATATATATATATATATATATATATATTATATATATATATATATGGGGTCGTCCACGAAAGGGTTGGAGAGAGAGGGGTAAAGGAGGTTTTGTGGGGGAGGGGCTTGGACTTCCAGCAAGCTTGCGTGAGAGTGTTAGATAGGAGTGAAAGGAGATGAATGGTACTTGGGACCTGACGATCTGTTGGAGTGTGAGCAGGGTAATATTTAGTGAAGGGATTCAGGGAAACCGGTTATTTTCATATAGTCGGACTTGAGTCCTGGAAATGGGAAGTACAATGCCTGCACTTTAAAGGAGGAGTTCGGGATATTGGCAGTTTGGAGGGATATGTTGTGTATCTTTATACGTATATGCTTCTAAACTGTTGTATTCTGAGCACCTCTGTAAAAACAGTGATAATGTGTGAGTGAGGTGAAAGTGTTGAATGATGATGAAAGTATTTTCTTTTTGGGGATTTTCTTTCTTTTTTGGGTCACCCTGCCTCGGTGGGAGACGGCCGACTTGTTGAAAATATATATATATATATATATATATATATATATATATATATATATATATATATATATATACATAGTCCAAGTATTGGACTAACCAATACTTGCGAGAAAGTTTATATAGGTACAATAAGGTAATATGGGAAATTTGAAGCCAGTAGGATGGTACTGTTGTCAGGTTATAAAGGAAAACTTTGCAGAAGAAAAAAAATCAGGCAACTAGTTGAAACTCTTCGGAAATTGCCTAATAAACTAACAACCTGAGGGTTCCCTAGTTCAATTCCCGAAAAGAGTAGGCAGGTTTCCTCGTAGCTGCTGCCCGTGTTCTCCTGGTAGTGGGTTGGGGATACATCTGATACTAAAGTAACTTTATTAGGCACTGGTACACATAAATACAATTATCATACATATGTAAATTACCTAGGATCACCCAAAAAAGTCAAGATTTATTTCCACTGTGGACCTTGTATTTCCACTGTGGACCTTGTATTTCCACTGTGGACCTTGTATTTCCACTGTGGACCTTGTATTTCCATTGGTAGTGACTTTCTTTTGTGCCTAGCAATATTTTGAACGTGTAATGAATATTACCTGTGTAATGCAAGAAAAAGCAACAAGGTATTTGAATTAGACTAACCTGGGTCACGAAGGGTGTTTAACTTGCGACGTAGGAAAGCTATGGTGGAGCGAGGTGAACCCAGTATGGGCCAAGAAGCCAGCCTCCTCGCCCTGACGGTCCAGCTTTAACCTCACCGATCAACCCACACTTCTAGCGGGCTTGAGGCGTCGAAGACCTTCTCTTAAAGGATCTCTTAGTAGGCTTGAGGCACCAAGGACTTCCTCCTACAGGATACAGTTTTGATGCATCAACGACCTCCTCCTACAGTTTTTTTTTTTTTTTTAGCTGACTTGAGACTTTAAGGATTTCCTCACCACCCTCCTACAGGTTCTTAAGAGTGGGATTGTTGTCAAGGATTTTCTCCTACAAATACTAGAAAGTTTAACACATCACAAACTTCCTCAGTATGGACTGTCTTAACACGTAACTCTCAGGCAGGAGACGGTAGCTCCCACTTCTTTAGATATTGACACAACAGTCTCGTGCAAGCCAAGTCACTTTTGTCTTGACGCTCTCTGTAGGTACGTAAATCCTACACTTGACGCTCTCTGTAGGTACGTAAATCCTACACTTGACGTTCTCTGTAGGTACGTAAATCCTACACTTGACGCTCTCTGTAGGTACGTAAATCCTACACTTGCACAAAACTTACAGACTTTCCCGGTCGTGCAGTAGTTCACACTTGAGTTGTGGATTCTAACCCGCTTTAGAGTATCACAGAGGATCTTATGTTCTGCTAGGATACGCTGCACCACTTTACTCGGATGAAAATAACATTACCACCTACTTCTTTCCACTTTAAGTGATTGGGGACCCTTACACCACTGGAAATAAAATTCACTTAATGGCTCGATGTTCTTCACAAGTGAAGTGAAAAGGAACCTGATTAACTAACAAATCCCCTATTTAGTCCATCTTCACTCTGTACTTCACGAGAAGTACATACCTCTCAGTGTATATATGCTAAGAGCTTTCTTTCATCCCAGTTTTAGGGATTAAAGCACCTTTGATTGATGATACACAGGTGACACACAGCCTTAATGACCCTCGTGCAGTTCATCGGCTTTAAAAGGAGCAGCATGATATAAGCTGCGTTGACTGGGCGAGTTTCTCACAGCAGCAGCAGCAGCAGCACGGTGTCTGACACGAGCATCTCAACGTCTGCACATCTGAAGGAATGGAACAGTTGTTAGTGAGGGTATAAATAACAGAGAAGCAATGCAGCAAAATTTAATGGAGTTACACTGATAGAGGCTCTCTGTAACAACAATTTCTATGTAACAACATGCTCTATGTAACAACAGGCTCTATGTAACAGAAGGATGGAGAACGTTACAGGAACTATACTGACAGTCTCTCTGTAACAACATGTTCTATGTGACAACAGGCTCTACATAACAAGAGGCTCTATGTAACAAAAGGATGGAGAAGATTACAAGTACTATACCGACACAGTGTCTCTGTAACAACAGGCTCTATGTAAGAACAAGCTCTATGTAACAACATGCTCTATGTGACAACAGGCTCTATGTAACAAGAGGCTCTATGTAACAACAGGCTCTATGTAACAACAAGCTCTATGTAACAACATGCTCTATGTGACAACAGGCTCTATATAACAAGAGGCTCTATGTAACAAAAGGATGGAGAACATTACGGGAACTATACCGACACAGTGTCTCTGTAACAACAGGCTCTATGTAACAACAGGCTCTATGTAACAACAGGCTCTATGTAACAAAAGGATGGAGAAGATTACAAGAACTATACTGACACAGTCTCTCTGTAACAAGATGATCATTACTTGTATATTGTAGGGGTATAATTCCAACACATCTCCCTAGGAAGACACAATGATTTCAAGACGTTATCGGCAGTGATACGCTCACGGTAGAGCTTTCTCCAGTTTTGATGTGATGATGAAGCTCAACCCTGAGCGAAACGATGTTCCAATAAAGCTCAACCCTGAGCGAAACGTTGTCCCAGTAAAACTCATCCCTGAGCGAAACTCATCTCGTATACTGAGATCCGTGGTTCGATCCCCGGTACCGGGGGGAACATCAGGACTTGTTTCCTTAAGACACCTGTTGTCCATGTTCACACATCAGTAAAATAGGTACATGGGTGTTAGTGGACTGGTGTGGGTCGCATCCCGGGACAAAAATTGACCTAATTTGCCCGAAATGTTCAGCATAATCAGGGATTTTCTGCAACTAAAGAAATAAAGTTTATTATTATTATTATTATTATTATTATTATTATTATTATTATTATTATTATTATTATTATTTACACAGTCAGGATCATAGGACACTACTGCCTGGTCATCCTCATGTCATCTCTTTCTCTTGTATGGAGTGAAAACCCAACCTACACAGGGGGTGATTTTTTAAATGGTGGTAAAAAAGGGTAACCTTTATATGGTGTGATATTTGACTGTTATATTGTGGTGAACCCTGAGTTCTAACACCACCAACTCTCATCTCTGCCACGAAATTTACGTTTTTTTCCTGTAAAACAAAATATCTTCTGTATACTGAGATGTGTGTGTATCTCTCAGTATATATACACTGAGAGGTGTGTATCTCTCAGTATATATACACTGAGAGGTGTGTATCTCTCAGTATATATACACTGAGAGGTATGTATCTCTCAGTATATATACACTGAGAGGTGTGTATCTCTCAGTATATATACACTGAGAGGTATGTATCTCTCAGTATATATACACTGAGAGGTATGTATCTCTCAGTATATATACACTGAGAGGTGTGAATCTCTCAGTATATATACACTGAGAGGTGTATATCTCTCAGTATATATATACACTGAGAGGTGTGTATCTCTCAGTATATATACACTGAGAGATGTGTATCTCTCAGTATGTATACACTGAGAGATGTGTATCTTTCAGCATATATACTCTGAGAGGTGTGTATCTCTCAGTATATATACACTGAGAGGTATGTATCTCTCAGTATATATACACTGAGAGGTATGTATCTCTCAGTATATATACACTGAGAGGTGTGTATCTCTCAGTATATATACACTGAGAGGTATGTATCTCTCAGTATATATACAGAGAGAGGTGTGTATATCTCAGTATATATACACAGAGAGGTGTGTATATCTCAGTATATATACACTGAGATGTGTGTATCTCTCAGTATATATACACTGAGAGGTGTGTATATATCAGTATATATACACTGAGAGGTGTGTATATCTCATTATATATACACTGAGAAGTGTGTATATCTCAGTATATATACACTGAGAGGTGTGTATCTCTCAGTATATATACACTGAGAGGTGTGTATCTCTCAGTATATATATACTGAGAGGTATGTATCTCTAAGTATATATACACTGAGAGGTATGTATATCTCTGTATATACAGTGAGAGGTGTGTATATCTCAGTATATATACACTCAGAGGTGTGTATCTCTCAGTATATATACACTGAAAGGTATGTATCTCTCAGTATATATACACTGAGAGGTGTGTATCTCTCAGTATATATACACTGAGAGGTGTGTATCTCTCAGTATATATACACTGAGAGGTGTGTATCTCTCAGTATATATACACTGAGAGGTGTGTATCTGATGGTATATACAGTACACTTAAAATAGCTGAGTATCACAAGGTATATACGATGCACATAACTGGTCATAACAAAACAAACAAAAAATTAGATAACGGAAGACTGGATATCAGACTGGAAGGAGAGAGTATGGAGGAGGTGAAGGTGTTCAGATATTTGGGAGTGGACGTGTCAGCAGATGGGTCGATGAAGGATGAGGCGAATCATAGAACTGACGAGGGGAAAAAAGGTGAGTGGTGCATTGAGGAGTCTGTGGAGACAAAGAACTTAGTTCTTGGAAGCTAAGAGGGGAATGTATGAGAGTAAAGTTATACCAACGGTCTTGTATGGGTGTGAGGTATGGGTGATGAATGTTGCAACAAGGAGAAGGCTGGAGGCAGTGGAGATGTCATGTCTGAGGGCAATGTGTGGTGTGAATATAATGCAGAGAATCCGTAGTTTGGAGATTAGGAGGAGATGCGGGATTGCCAAAACTATTATCCAGAGGGCTGAGGAGGAGTTGTTGAGATGGTTTGGACATGTAGAGAGGCTGGAACGAAATAGAATGACTTCGAGAGTGTATAAATCTGTAGTGGAGGGAAGGCAGGGTAGGGGTCGGCCTAGGAAAGGTTGGAGGGAGGGGGTAAAGGAGGTTTTGTGTGCGAGGGGCTTGGACTTCCAGCAAGCGTGCGTGAGCGTGTTAGAGAGGAACGAATGGAAACAAATGGCTTTTAGGACTTGACATGCTGGTGGAGTGTGAGCAAGGTAACATTTATGAAGGGATTCATGGAAACCGGTTGACCGGACTTGAGTCCTGGAGATAGGAAGTACAGTGTCTGCACTCTGAAGGAGGGGTGTTAATGTTGCAGTTTTATAACTGTAGTGTGAGTGCGCCTCTGGCGGGAGACAGCCGATGTGTTAATAAAAATAATAATAATAATAATAACTGGTCACTGCAATCCCTTTCTTATACATGAATGTTTGAATGTTATCATTCTTGAGGTGGATTACAAGCTTAATCACCCCAGTCTTGTCGATGGCTTTGAATTATATGTGGCTTAACACACAGCAGTAGCGGCTTTGTCCCACTACGTAGGAACCAGAGTTGATATCCAGGTGTGGGTGAAGACACTGGGAATGTTTCCTAACACATATCACAACTGTACACACTACCGACAAGTGGATTAATAAGACACATGTGCAACACCTGGGTATCTTTGCAAAGCAAACGTTTCACCAGTCAGTGATGTTTACAGTTCATTGCCGAGGTCATAGACAGCAGACAGTAGAAGACGAGATAATCAGTCCCTCAGCCTTGACAAGTGTCCAGTCCACGAGCATTGATCAAAACTCTTATTGAACTAAACTGAATTGTATTGCAGTGAATTAATAATAAAAGTGATTTGGCAACATCTTTATAAATGAGTTGCACTAAGTGTTGCAAATATAAGTGATTGATTTAACTCCTGCCGTTGAGAGAGTCAACATCGAACTACAACAAACTGTGATACAATCCCAGCAAATTACAGACTAAAATAATATATTTATATTCCCCTTTCAGCTTATTACATTTTTAATTAAGTTCAGAGTGAATTTCTGATGAGTCGTGTGTTACCTCCTGGCCCCTCACCGCTCCAGTCAAGGTCGTATATATATATATATATCATAACAACGGCCGTCTCTCCTACTATGGTAGGGTAACCCAAAGTAGAAAGCACATTCACCATCGTTCGTTTAATCTCCGACTTGAGAGGAGTGCGCTGACATTACAGTCAGAATACCCCCCCCCTGACTGTCAGGAGCTGTGACTCGACTCCTGTAACCGCATATAAGTGAGTAACACCCCCACATCCCTCCTTCAACGCGCATCTCCCGGACTCAAGTCCAGCTAACCGGTTTATCCTGAATTCCTTCGTAAAAGTTACCTGGCTCACACTCTAACAGCACCTGCGCCCACAACAGCATGCTGGGTGCTCAAGCCCCTAAAACTCAAACTTTACATTTCTATTAATTGATGAAAGCACATTAATGTAATTAAATCATTAACATTAATAAAAAACTATGTACACAAAATATGTGATGAGTGAGAGGGCGTCAAGCTATTTAATTAATAACCCTTTCAATCAAAGCTACGAATGTTAATTGTAATTTCACATTATAATTATTATTATTATTATTATTATTATTATCATTATTATTATTATTATTATTCGTATTATTATTGTTTTATTATTATTATTGTTATTATTATTATTATTATTATATCAGTAAGGGAAAAGGCTGAAACCGTCTGGCTGTATATATATATGTATGTATATCAATACCAACACTGCACTAGCCAAGGACTCGAACCCATGCTGCTTTGGCCTGCCTCATGGTGGGCGAAAACACATGACGCCCTAATCCACTGAACCATACGATCCTTAAGTAGCGCATCCAGCGGAACTGGATGTTGTACTCGCTACCCCAGGACACACTGTGGTGTGGATAAGTCTAGACTAACTTCATTCTAGTTCCTGTTTGGTGTACTAGTTCAACGAGCAGTATTATATTATTGTGACCACGAACGAGTGGTATTGACCAACAACAGTGCCTGGGTAATGGAAGGTAATAAACATTGATCCAAGGAAGGAGAAGGTTAGCTTGTACTCCTTGGATCAAGAACTCCTAGTCTCGTAGTCGAGGTCAACTCAATGTTTGCTTTATTCTCATTATTAATATCATTGTTTTGTTAATGTTATAAATGAAAGTATATTATTAAGCTAAATTAACACTTTATGTGAAAAATGTTTATTGGTGTTTATATATATAAATTACTGGTCACTTAGGTATATGTTTATGTGTTTAATTATAACACTGGTTTTCTATGATCTACCACTACTACCACCACTATCACTACTACCACCACTACCACTACCACCACTACCACTACTACCACCACTACCACTACTACCACCACTACCACTACTACCACCACCACTACCACTACTACTACCACATTACCACCACTATTACCACTACTACTACCACTATTACCACCACTACTACCACTACTACTACCACTATTACCACACTACTACCACTACTACTACCACTATTACCACCACTACTACCACTACTACCACTCTACCACTACTACCACCAATATTACCACCACTACTACTACTACTACCACCACTACTACTATCACTATTACCACCACTACTACCATCACTACTACCACTACTGCTACCACTATTACCACCACCACTACTACCATCGCTACCGCAATTACTACCACCACTACTACCACTACTACCACCGCTACTACAACTTCTACCACCACCACCACCACTGCCACCACCATTACCACCACCACGACCACGACCACCACTACCACCACCACAGCCACCACCACTACCACCACTACCACCACCACCACTACCACCACTACCACCACCACCGCTACCACCAGTACCACCACTACCACCACTACCACCACTACCACCACTACCACTACCACCACCACTACCACCACCACTACCACAACCACCACTATCATTAGCACTACCACCCCCACCACCAACTCTACTACCAGTACCACTACCACCACCACCACTACCACCAACCACCACCATTACCACCACCATTACCACCACCACCACTACTAACACTACGACTACCACCACCAACCAACACCACCAAGACTATCATTACCACTAGTGCTCCACCCACCAGCACTACCACCACCAAAAGCACTACCACCCCACCACCATCACTACCACCACCACCACCACTACCACCACCACTACCACACCACTACCACCATCACTACCACAACCACCACTATCATTAGCACTACCACCACCACCACCACCCAACTCTACTACCAGTACCACTACACCACCACCACTCCCACCACACCACCACCACTACCACCACCACCACCACCACCACCACCACCACCACCACCACCACCACCACCACCACCCCCACCACCACCACTACCACCACCATAAAAACACCAACTATCCTCCTCACAGCCCCTAAACCCTCTTGCAATAAGGGCGTTACTCCCTGGCGCTGAAAATGGATTAAGTCTAGGAATGACCTAGTTTACCTTCCTACAGTGTTAATAATTGTATTAAGTCAGAAGCCTTGTTGGCAACACTGTTCTCTCTCTCTCACTCTAATAATAACACCAACAATAATAATAATTATTATTAGTAGTAGTATAATAACAGTAATAATAATAATAATAATAATAATAATAATAATAATAATAATAATAATAATAATAATAATAATAATAACCAGACTGAGGGACTGACCACCTATGTAGACTGAGGGACTGACCACCTATGTAGACTGAGGGACTGACCACCTATGTAGACTGAGGGGGCTGACCACCTATGTAGACTGAGGGACTGACCACCTATGTAGACTGAGGGACTGACCACCTATGTAGACTGAGGGGACTGACCACCTATGTAGATGAGAGACTGACCACCTATGTAGACTGAAGGACTGACCACCTATGTAGACTGAGGGACTGACCACCTATGTAGACTGAGGGACTGACCACCTATGTAGACTGAGGGACTGACCACCTATGTAGACTGAGGGACTGACCACCTATGTAGACTGAGGGACTGACCACCTATGTAGACTGAGGGACTGACCACCTATGTAGACTGAGAGACTGACCACCTATGTAGACTGAAGGACTGACCACCTATGTAGACTGAGGGACTGACCACCTATGTAGACTGAGGGACTGACCACCTATGTAGACTGAGGGACTGACCACCTATGTAGACTGAGGGACTGACCACCTATGTAGACTGAGGGACTGACCACCTATGTAGACTGAGGGACTGACCACCTATGTAGACTGAGGACTGACCACCTATGTAGACTGAGGGACTGACCACCTATGTAGACTGAGGGACTGACCACCTATGTAGACTGAGGGACTGACCACCTATGTAGACTGAGGGACTGACCACCTATGTAGACTGAGGGACTGACCACCTATGTAGACTGAGGGATGACCACCCATGTAGATTGAGGGACTGACCACCTATGTAGACTGAGGGACTGACCACCTATGTAGACTTAGGGACTGACCACCTATGTAGATTGAGGGGAAATGACCACCTATGTAGACTGAGGGACTGACCACCTATGTAGACTGAGGGACTGACCCCCTATGTAGACTGAGAGACTGACCACCTATGTAGACTGAGGGACTGACCACCTATGTAGACTGAGGGACTGACCACCTATGTAGACTGAGGGACTGACCACCTATGTAGACTGAGGGACTGACCACCTATGTAGACTGAGAGACTGACCACCTATGTAGACTGAGGGTCTGACCACCTATGTAGACTGAGGGACTGACCACCTATGTAGACTGAGGGACTGACCACCTATGTAGACTGAGGGACTGACCACCTATGTAGACTGACAGACTGACCATCTATGTAGACTGAGGGACTGACCACCTATGTAGACTGAGGGACTGACCACCTATGTAGACTGAGGGACTGACCACCTATGTAGACTGAGGGACTGACCACCTATGTAGACTGAGGGACTGACTACCTATGTAGACTGAGGGACTGACCACCTATGTAGACTGAGGGACTGACCACCTATGTAGACTGAGGGACTGACCGCCTATGTAGATGAGGGACTGACCACCTATGTAGACTGAGGGACTGACCACCTATGTAGACTGGAGAGACTGACCACCTATGTAGACTGAAGGGACTGACCACCTATGTAGACTGAGGGACTGACCACCTATGTAGACTGAGGGACTGACCACCTATGTAGACTGAGAGACTGACCACCTATGTAGACTGAGGGACTGACCACCTATGTAGACTGAGGGACTGACCACCTATGTAGACTGAGGGACTGACCACCTATGTAGACTGAGGGACTGACCACCTATGTAGACTGAGGGGGCTGACCACCTATGTAGACTGAGGACTGACCACCTATGTAGACTGAGGGACTGACCACCTATGTAGACTGAGGGACTGACCACCTATGTAGACTGAGAGACTGACCACCTATGTAGACTGAAGTACTGACCACCTATGTAGACTGAGGGACTGACCACCTATGTAGACTGAGGGACTGACCACCTATGTAGACTGAGAGACTGACCACCTATGTAGACTGAGAGACTGACCACCTATGTAGACTGAGGGACTGACCACCTATGTAGACTGATGGACTGACCACCTATGTAGACTGAGGGACTGACCACCTATGTAGACTGAGGGACTGACCACCTATGTAGACTGAGGGACTGACCACCTATGTAGACTGAGGGACTGACCACCTATGTAGACTGAGAGACTGACCACCTATGTAGACTGAGGGACTGACCACCTATGTAGACTGAGGGACTGACCACCTATGTAGACTGAGGGACTGACCACCTATGTAGACTGAGAGACTGACCACCTATGTAGACTGAGAGATGACCACCTATGTAGACTGAGGGACTGACCACCTTTTGTAAGACTGGGGACTGACCACCTATGTAGACTGAGGGACTGACCACCTATGTAGACTGAGGGACTGACCACCTATGTAGACTGAGGGACTGACCACCTATAAAACTCCCTGGCCACTTCTTGCATTACCTGTTAACGTAACATGAAACATACCTTGTCCATTGATGTGTCGTTCAATCAAGAACGGAGAAGAACGTGTATAAACTGGCGTTTTATACGTGTATGGAACGAGGTGTACGACCGCGCAGGTAACAGAGGTAACACAACGCAGGTGACAGCGCAGGTAACGCAATACGGTAACACAGCGAAGATAACGCAGCGCAGGTAACACAGCACAGGTAACACAGCGCAGGTAACACAGCACAGGTAACACAGCGCAGGTAACACAGCGCAGGTAACACAGCGCAGGTAACACAGCGCAGGTAACACAGCGCAGGTAACACTGCTGGCCGGGGTAGAGCCTGACCAGTTACTGCCACCACCCACTACATTCCCACTCTACCCTACGTTTATTATTATGCTAGTGGGTGGCACTCAGTGGGTGCCACTCATTGGGGTGGCACTTAGAGTGCTGGCACTCAGGGGTGGTACTCAGGGGGTGGCACTCAGGGGGTGGCACTCATTGGGGTGCCACTCACAGCTGCATAGCCCTGCCACTACATTTATTAATAACCTGCATTTTTGGCACCCTAAGTCACATACTTTTATATCATTTCAACGTTCACCGCTAACCTAATATATATATTATATATATATATATATAATATATATATATATATATATATATATATATATATATATATTTATATATATATTTTATATATATATATATATATATATATATATATAATTATATATATTATATATATTACGATGGTAAGTATAGTACCTACCGTTGGTCACAGTTCGCTGTTAGATTTACCAGTGTAATATTGACCAGTTCTCCACTTAGCTGTATCAGTCACCACTGTGTCTCCTGTGTATCAATCACCACTGTGTCTCCTGTGTATCAATCACCACTGTGTCTCCTGTGTATCAATCACCACTGTGTCTCCTGTGTATCAGTCACCACTGTGTCTCCTTTGTATCAATCACCACTGTGTCTCCTGTGTATAAATTCACCACTGTGTCTCCTGTGTATCAATCACCACTGTGTCTCCTGTGTATCAATCACCACTGTGTCTCCTGTGTATCAGTCACCACTGTGTCTCCTGTGTATCAGTCACCACTGTGTCTCCTGTGTATCAATCACCACTGTGTCTCCTGTGTATCAATCACCACTGTGTCTCCTGTGTATCAATCACCACTGTTTTCAAACTGTGTATCAATCACCACTGTGTCTCCTGGTTATCAGTCACCACTGTGTCTCCTGTATATCAATCCCACTGTGTCTCCTGTGTATCAATCACCACTGTGTTCTCCTGTGTATAAATCACCACTGTGTTCCTGTGTATCAATCCCACTGTGTCTCCTGTGTATCAGTCACCACTGTGTCTCCTGTGTACCCAGTCACCACTGTGTCTCCTGTGTATCAATCACCACTGTGTCTCCTGTGTATCAATCACCACTGTGTCTCCTGTGTATCAGTCACCACTGTGTCTCCTGTGTATCAATCACCACTGTGTCCCCTGTGTATCAATCCCACTTGTGTCTCCTGTGTATCAGTCACCATGTGTCTCCTGTGTATCAATCACCACGGGGTCTCCTGTGTATCAATCACCACTGTGTCTCCTGTGTATCAATCACCACTGTGTCTCCTGTGTATCAATCACCACTGTGTCTCCTGTGTATCAGTCACTACTGTGTCTCCTGTGTATCAGTCACCACTGTTTTCCCCTGTGTATCAGTCACCACTGTGTCTCCTGTGTATCAGTCACCACTGTGTCTCATGTGTATCAATCACCACTGTGTCTCCTGTGTATCAATCACCACTGTGTCTCCTGTGTATCAATCACCACTGTGTCTCCTGTGTATCAGTCACCACTGTGTTCCCTGTGTATCAGTCACCACTGTGTCTCCTGTGTATCAGTCACCACTGTGTCTCCTGTGTATCAGTCACCACTGTGTCTCCTGTGTATCAGTCACCACTGTGTCTCCTGTGTATAAATCCCCAAACTGTGTCTCCTGTGTATCAATCACCACTGTGTCTCCTGGGGTATCAGTCACCATTGTTCTCCTGTGTATCATCCCACTGTGTCTCCTGTGTATCAATCACCACTGTGTCTCCTGTGTATCAATCACCACTGTGTCTCCTGTGTATCAGTCACCACTGTGTCTCCTGTGTATCAGTCACCACTGTGTCTCCTGTGAAATCAATCACCACTGTGTCTCCTGTGTATCAATCACCACGTGTCTTCTGTGTATCAATCACCACTGGGGTCTCCTGAGTATCAATCACCACTGTGTCTCCTGTGTATCAATCACCACTGTGTCTCCTGTGTATCAATCACCACTGTGTCTCCTGTGTATCAATCACCACTGTGTCTCCTGAGTATCAATCACCACTGTGTCTCCTGTGTATCAGTCACCCACTGTGTCTCTGTGTATCAATCACCACTGTGTCCCCTGTGCATCAATCACCACTGTGTCTCCTGTGCTCAATCACCACTGTGTCTCCTGTGTATCAATCACCACTGTGTCTCCTGTGTATCAATCACCACTGTGTCTCCTGTGTATCAATCACCACTGTGTCTCCTGTGTATCAATCACCACTGTGTCTCCTGTGTATCAATCACCACTGTGCCTCCTGTGTATCAATCACCACTGTGTCTCCTGTGTATCAATCACACTGTTGCCTCCTGTGTATCAATCACCACTGTGTCTCCTGTGTATCAATCACCACTGTGTCTCCTGTGTATCAGTCACCACTATGTATCCTGTGTATCAATCACCACTATGTCTCCTGTGTATCAATCACCGCTGTGTCTCCTGTGTATCAATCACCACTGTGTCTCCTGTGTATCAGTCACCACTGTGTCTCCTGTGTATCAATCACCGCTGTTTCTCCTGTGTATCAATCACCACTGTGTCTCCTGTGTATCAATCACCACTGTGTCTCCTGTGTATCAATCACCACTGTGTCTCCTGTGTATCAATCACCACTGTGTCTTATGCATACAAGATCTACCAGATTATTATTATTATTATTATTATTATTATTATTATTATTATTATTCTTTCTTTCAACACACCGGCCGTATCCCACCGAGGCGGGGTGGCCTAAAAGGAAAAACGAAAGTTTCTCCTTTTACATTTAGTAATATATACAGGAGAAGAGGTTACTAGCCCCTTGCTCCCGGCATTTTAGTTGCCTCTTACAACACGCATGGCTTACGGAGGAAGAATTCTGTTCCACTTCCCCATGGAGATAAGAGGAAATAAACAAGAATAAGAACTAGAAAGAAAATAGAAGAAAACCCAGAGGGATGTGTGTATATATATATGCTTGTACATGTATGTGTAGTGTGACCTAAGTGTAAGTAGAAGTAGCAAGACGTACCTGAAACCTTGCATATTTATGAGACAGAAAAATGGACACCAGCAATCCTACCATCATGTAAAACAATTACAGGCTTTCGTTTTACATTCACTTGGCAGGACGGTAGTACCTCCCTGGGTGGTTGCTGTCTACCAACCTACTACCTAGGTATTATTATTATTATTATTATTATTATTATTATTACAATCTGGTAGTTAAGGAGGCTACAAGACAGCAACATTCACTTAAGTACACTTAAATGACTCACTAAATGAACTTTTTTTGGTAATTTTAATATGCTTTTTAGATTATTATCACCATATACTTTTTTTGGGGGGGTGGGGGCTATTTTTTTTTCCTTTAGTGGTGCGTATTATAGGAGTTTATCCAGAGTTACGGAATTCCTGAAAATACTGCCATTAAAAAGTGAATTTTTACTAGGATTCTTATTTTGAGACGAGAAAAAGGCCAGTTGTAGGTATTTTTTTGTGTTGAGGTTCAAGACTTCCGTAACGTTGTGTTTCTGTCTCTCCTTTGTGGGAGTTGTTTGTGTGTTGTTCCAGTTACGGTGTTGTGACTGTTTTTCTTGATCTTAGTAAGGTAATGTTAACACCAGTGGGTTGCATCAAGAGCCCCCTTCGCTGGCATCAAGAGCCCCCTTCGCTGGCATCAAGAGCCACCCTCGTAGGCATCAAGGGTAATTACCGGCATCAAGAGCTTTTTCACCAGCATCAAAAGTCCCCTTCGCTAGCATCAAGAGCCCCATCATCGGCATCAAGGACACCCTTGAGGGACTAACCTACAGAAACCACTGGTCAGCGCAGTTAACTGAGATATTTGTTAAGTACTTGTGTCAGCTAAAAAGACACAAGTTCAACCAATGTGACGTTTTCCTGTGGCAACGTTTCGCTCTCCAGGACCTTTGTCAAGCAGGTAAAAAAAATACTGGGACACAGAGGGAAGATGTAGTCAATATATACCTATATATATATATATATATATATATATATATATATATATATATATATATATATATATATATATATATATATATATATATATATATATATATATATATCCTCTGTGTTACTGTATTGTTTGTAATGGCTTGACAGAGCTCCTGGAGAGCGAAACGTTGCCACAATAAAACGTCACATTAGTTGCACTTGTCTCCTTTTACTTAACACGTCGGTACTTCTAGCAACATTATTAAGGCGCTATGTTGCGGCACAACCAGCGCCAGTGTTAGTGAGCGGTGCCAGGGACAACTAGCTTTACTGTGACACTCTACAACACATGTCTGGCTCCCGGTGCCAGCTGTACTTGCCTCTGGTGGATGTGATGACCTGATTGAAATCCTGGTGTGAGAGGCTGTGATGAGGTGTGGGCTGGTATGGGAGGCTGTGATGAGGTGTGGGCTGGTGTGGGTGAACACTGAAGGCTGGTGTGAGTGCAGGCACACGCCCATGCAACACAGATCAATAATACCATGGCCTTGCAACCCCGGGGCTACACACTCCGTCTCTCCCACCCTCCCCTAACCTACTGACTTTAACACCCCCTCCCCTAACATGCTGACTTTAACACCCCTCCCCTAACCTGTTGACTTTAACACCCTTCCCTTAACCCGCTGACTTTAACACCCTTCCCCTGAAATGCTGACTTTAACACCACTCCCCTAACCTGCTGACTTTAACACCCTCTCCCCTAACCTGCTGACTTTAACACCCCCCTCCCCTAACCAGCTAACTTTATCACCCTTCCCCTAACCTGTTGACTTTAACACCCTTCCCCTAACCTGCTGACTTTAACACCCTTCCCCTAACCTGCTGACTTTAACACCCTTCCCCTAACCTGCTAACTTTAACACCCTTCCCCTAACCTGCTGACTTTAACACCCTTCCCCTAACCTGCTAACTTTAACACCCTTCCCCTCGAGGTTCGAGGTTCTGACCAGAGCTTTGGTAAGA